GGGCCCGACGCGTCAGGACGGTCATCTTTAAGAAGTGGAGGGAACCCAGAGAGGACGGGATCATGGCCGCCCGGATGGAGTGTGTGCTTGAGGAGTCTGTGGAAGATCGCATCTGTCGTACCGTAACAGAGGACGGATATGAACTGCAGGTGAGTAAACTCTTTTCAATAATTTGGTTCCTAGTGAATTCTTTCATCAGTGACAACTTTGGAGGTTAGTATCCTTATCCTTCCAAAGTTGTCACTGATGAAAGAATCCACTAGGAACTGTATCTATACTTGACAAATTAATCTCTTCAACGATTTTCAATGATTTGTTTTTCTTCTTAAAGATATTTTCAATAAAAGTACGTCGTACCTTATTGAAGATGTGACACTGGTCTGAGTTTGGAAAGAGTTGTACTGGGAGTAAATACGAAGAACTTTATTGCACGACAATTGCACATGGTATAATGTATGGCAAACTACATAAAGAGAGTAACAAACAATAAAGTGTGTTGAACAAGACCTAATGTCGAATAAAACCTAACATATCTATATCATAATTATTCAAATAATATGGGATAGCACAAGTCTTTGATAAAGTGTAACAATCGAGTGGGCTAATCACAAGTTTCGAAATTTTTTCTAATAACAAAGCATTCCTTTATAGGGCTTATTCACCACAGATGGTCACGTGACTCTTCCCCCGGCAGCGAGCATTGTCCGCCATTAGGGGGTGCAGCATGGTGCCTATCGCTATGGCACGCTATGCAAACTCTTGGCGATAGTTGCGCATTTTGGGCCACGATCTACGTTTTGAACACTCTTCTTGTTAGTAACATTGTCCTTGGGGTTGTTCTGGCTCCATGTCCACGTCTCATGTTCTCAAGATCGGCTTTTATCTTTTTTTGCTGATCAGAAATCGGTGTGTTTTACCCTGGCGTAGGGGCCTGTAGATCGCCCCCTGTAGATGTCAACGTGGATAGCCATGGACACGTTAAATCTGTTGAAGCTACCTGTCCCTTTACTCTGTGGTAAATGTCCATGTAGAACAGGGCACTGGCAACTTGTAACACTCACCTTGTCCAGCCACAGTCGCGGCAGTGCGGACTGAGGATGGCGGCCGGCGGCCGATGGCCCGCCATTTGTTTTG